TTGTAAGGTTGAACGAGAAAATGCCAGAGCCCAGTTTGGCTCATCGGTCAGATCAGAGCCCTTTTCGCGGCCATATCCGACGCTGTCGGCACCCTCATCGAGTTCGTCAAAGGCGTAATCGGATTCCTCCGGAACAGAGTCTCTCAGGCCCATATCCGTTTCCCATGCCGTAGGAAGCCTGAGTCGACGCTCTCGGGTCGATGACGCGCGCTAGCATATTGCTGCTGCTGCTGTTGCTGTTGCTGTTGCTGCTGCTGCTGGGCCTGCTGCTGGGCCTGCTGTTGCTGTTGCTGCCGGAGCATGGCGTTTTCGCGGGTGAGCATCTCGATAGTCTTAGCCCTCGACACTCTGGTGCATCGAGCTATGCATGGACTCCGATGTGCTGCCATCATCGTCATCATCTACCTCGTTCAGTTTGCCGAGCGGCCCTCCTTCATTCGACATCTCACTCAGCATGCTTGGCCGAGAGGGACGATGCTGCAATCCGGAATGCGGGTGGCCACGGCCGCGGTTCAGAATGGACGAGCTGGACAGAGAAGAGGCGGTACTGTCCGGGTCTAGTTGACCCACAGAGTACGACTGCGAGCGGTACGTCTTGGGTGTTGGGTGCAGAGGGATGGCAAACGGAATCTGCGAGGTAGGCCCGTTTTCGCGGAGGCCTGGAGATGTTTGACCGAACCCGCCATCGACCCCGAAAAAGGTGCTTCCAGCTGCCGAGCCCGGGGGCAATGTAGATGTTGGCGACGGCAACACCTCGGTCAGTCGTGAGGGCGGATCTTTGCGGTCCGAGTTCCAGATGGCCGTTCCCCAGGGAAATGCTGCGGGGGCCGGGCCGCGGCCCATGATGTTGGATGGCTGAGCCCAGGAGCCTGCGTTGGTATCGGCCGACGGAGTGGAGGGGTGAGAAGCTGTGGGGGACATCGAGTTGCTGGCGAATGAACCCTGACGCGGGCGGATAGGCTGGGTGGTGTCATTCAGCCAAGAAGCGCGCCGTACCTTTTGAGGGGGAACCACGGGTTGGGGGACCTCCTGCCGATTCTGAGTCTCATCATCGTCGGAACTGGCCAGTGCCTCGGAATCAGGCGTCGATCGGCGGTTGAGCTTGTCAAGGAAGATGGCCTGGCTGCTAGGAGCTATCGCAGCGAAGCCACCTTGGCTCGGTTTGGAGGAGGAACTAGGTTTCGCTGTACTAGAACTCATTGTGATGGTCGTGAGTCGACACTAATGTGGGATGCGCTGTTGATGCGAAGATAACGATCAACGGGCCAGAGTAGAAGCTGCTGGCCTAGTTTGCGTTCGGTCTGGATGGAGGCCGCCCGAGGTAGAAAATGAGAAGAGCACCTCGGATGTAGGCTCCAAGCTGGAAGGAGGCTTGGCGAGTGTCCGAATTGAATAGGTGCGAGGCTCCGACGCGGTGAGTCGTCTATCGCGTGTTAGTCGCGCGCCCGAGAAGGTAGTGAAGTCTCAGAAGCAAGTCAGGTGGTATTGCGCGCCAGCCTTGTCTGAGGTGTTCCAGATAGGCAGGCGCGTGCAGGTTCAGTAGGCAACCACGTGAGGATTGGCCAGCTGGCAATTAGAGCCTCAATGCCAGATTGGGTGTTGTCGCTGAAGTATGGCCTCGGAATCAGAGCTGGCGCGGGCGACGCTTTGTGGCACAGCGACGAGAAATGGTGCTTTGACTTTGGTTCTTTGGGGTACAATGTAGCTGTGCTTTGGGGAGGGGGGGGGGGCGTAGGAAGGTAGGTAGTGGCAGAAGGGTGGAGCCGCTTTCGGAGAATTGGGCTGATGGCCTTGCGATGGCCTTGGGCGCAAGCGGCAGGTTCGTAGTAACCAGAGGTACAAGTGGAGCAGAATGATGGCGAAAGATTGCCGCTGAGGGTTTGATTGCGTACGTACCAGATGTTTGTGTCTTTGAAATCGTGTTTAGTGGGTAGGCGTGGGCACTATTGGCGAGGAGCGCAATGGTCGTGATGTCGTTGTGTATTTGTTTTGGAGCAGAAGGAAGAGTTGTACGGTGGGCTGGTTTATCTCCTGGACCGGGAATATCAGGTTGGAGAGGGAGGGAGAGAGAAAGAGAAGAGGCGGAAGCGGCAGGTTGCAGGCGTGAGTTTGAGGCGACAAGTCCTGGGTTGTGATTGATTGGGCTCTTTCTTCTAAGGTGGTGAATCGAACGTGGCGGGCTAGCGCCAGATGCAATTATGGCCAGATTAGGAGGTGGTGAGATGGGACAGGCGAAAGGGCAGGTTGTTTGGGACGGCGTATTATGAATGCGCGGGAACGCGAAGTGACGAACGAAGTGTGAGGAAAGGCAAGTAGGTGTTGGGAAGGTGGGTGTCAGTGTCAAGAAGCCGTCTAATCCAGTTCGTCTAACCCAAACAACGCAAGGAAAGGAATTCAACGATTCGCCAGGCGGACGGAGGTGTGTTGCGCAAGAACCATTTGCCTCCACTGCAGCTGTCCAACCTCGAATGAAGAGTCCCTGTGTCGTGTCGCTCCTGTCGTGCCGTGGTGTGCGTTTGGGGGTTGGTTGGTGTGGTGCGAGACAGGACGCGAGCAGATGGATGAGCGAGTGAGATGAGGTGAGTTGAGGTGAGGTGAGCGAATCCAAGTGTAGTAGTGTCAGGGACAGGCTACATGTGTCGCATGGCCAGGACTGGTCCTCTTTGACCTCTTGCCCTGAGCTTGGTCGCGAGCTAGCGGGCTGTACAAGCCGTAGCTGAATGTGTAGGGGTGTGTTGAGTCCTGGACGACGTTCTATGCGGCAGAATGTGGTGGTAGCTACGAGATGGATGACCTTTGCTGGCTGGGCAGCGAGGAGCAACGACGAAGAGGTGGCTTTCGCGTGGTGAGGGAACGCGTGGTGGTTCAGTTCAGATTGGGTTGGGGAATGGAAGCGGAGGCGGGGGGGGTAAGAGAGCGGGAGGAAAAAGAAGAAAGGACGTTGCGAA